CCCCTTTCCCACCTCCCAACCCCCACCCCCCATTTGTGTTGCAAACCCCAACTCCACCATGTCCACTGTTGTGTCCAGATTTCCCTGAACTGAGCCACCTGAAGACCAAGACGTCCCCAGATGTCCAGAGAGAGGCGGCCAGAGGGGTCATCTCCAGGCTGGTCAAGGACAGAGCCGCGGACTTTGATGTGGACGTGAACCCAGACCTGGGACCCAAGGAGAGAGACACTTTCAGGGTACTTGATGAACATACTGACTACTTCTTTCATACTTACTTTTATTTTTGTATTGTCTGTTGCCGTTAAGCGTCGAGGGGAAATGCAGTTTTGTATAGAACGCCAGCTCTGTAGCTCTTTCAGTTGGGGTGTTATATTTTTTTCAGGATTTCCGTGACTCCCTCAATCCATCTTTTGAGTGGCCTTCCTCATATTTCATGGCCTGAGTACTTGGTGTTATAGACTGTCGCTGCTGGCTAGCTCTCTTTCCTATAGATTGTACTTGAAGACTGCAGTGCCAGAGGAAGGGGCGGCTGCATTCACAGAAAGAAAATAATGTACAACTCTTTGTTTTCGTGGCTATCGTGTAGACTACTCTAGTCCTTTTCCTGTGCGGCTTGTTTTGAAATTAAATTAATGTGTTCACAGTGTGTGGCTACTGCGCTCTTTCACCAAAAAACAAGAAAAAACATAAGTAGTAGTCCTGGACACAATCGAAAATGCCATTGACAGATAAATATGATATAACGGAAATTTCTGAGTACTTCCCTTTTCCATTTGTAGCCTTTAAATGTTTTATGCCTCTGTCAATGTAATAATTAAGATTTGTAAAAGGTCGTTCCTTGGGTTGGGATTGAACACACAGTTTGATTGTGAGACGAAGAATCTAACCTTCATTCCTCTGAGATACCACAAGAGAAAAGTTTGCAAAGTAGTAAACACAGACTTTGTAAATTAATGTGTGATGTGTGGGTTGATGCCCATATGAAGAATGTGTAGTCATTTGGAGTTGAGGCCTCCGAATTTATCGTTTAATTCCGAAAAATCGAAGAGCCAATTTGGTGGAGAGCTTTGAATACTCCCAAAGCATTTACAAAATGCCTTGCTGGATATTCAAACCAGTAGCATCGAGTGGTAATTTTCTTCTTCTTCTTTCTGAAGGTTGCTGAGTCAGGAAACAAAGAGGGTGGAGGTCGATATTTTAACATTGTCTTAGTCGTCATGTTGGCCATAGAAATCTCAGCTCACCTCAGGATGAGATGCTTTGCTATGTCACACAGGCGACTCAGTTCAATTCCCGATGATGAGAGAAGGTGGTTTTCAGACAAGTCCTTGTTTTTCTATGCCACCACACATTAAGTATGTAGACAGGGGAGTGGGGTTGGGAAGAGAAAGCAGAGAGGGGGAGGGAGGGAGGGATGGAGGAGGAAGCGATAGAGACACTATTGGAACTGGGTTTTTTTGTACTATGGTAAAGTGCACTGAGCATTTTCTCAGTGGAAATGCGCTATTTATATGTAATGTATTATTATTATTATCATCATCATTATTATTATTATTATTATTATCATTATTATTATTATTATTATTATTATTATTATTAATAATGTATTATTATTATTATCATTATTATTATTATATATTATTATTATTATTACTTCAACTGTGGGTATTGTTGTGTACAGCTAAGTTCTACCGGTGATGGAAGAATCCTGATCGAGGGTACGACTGGCGTGGCGGTGTCCATGGGCTTTTACCATTACATCAAATACTGGTGCAACGCTCAGAGGACATGGGCTGGACAACAGACGGAGCTACCACCAACTCTCCCGGTCATTGAAAAGCCAGTGGTCATTACGAGCAATGACAGGTGAGTTTTGTTTTTTGGGCTGGTTTTGTGATCGAGACAGAGCTAAAGTTGTAGAGACTGCTATCTTACAACATGCACTTTTATTTAGACCTTCTGACTAGCATCAGGCGCGGACATCTTTCTTCCTGCAACATTTACTTGTTATAAACGGTAAACAAAAGTGAAGTAAGTGTGGTCAAGATGGGATTTATTAACCCAACTCCGAGCGGCTGCTGGCATAGGTCAGTGACCTATTCCTGTTTTGTTGGCTGGCCGGTGTCACTGGCTGATGAGAATGCCACAGTTGACCTCCAAATAGAAACATTGAAAACGATTCAGTGTGTTAAAGCATGGTTTGTATCCAACACAGAGATCCTGGGCGGGGGTAGGGGGGGGGTATGCTTAAAGTGTGAGGCAGCATGGAAATGTAGTCCGATTAAAATATATGAGTCACGACTTGGAAGAATCAAGCGCTTGTCAATTTTTAGACCTGTCTTGTATAGTTGTTGGTATCACTTTAAAGCATGTTTATTTGCCTTGCTTTCTATGGGAAAAAATGTACCCATCTAGCATGGGTAAAAGTCGAGGTATTTGTGATTGAAAGAGGTAGGGTCGCCTGGTTTCAGAGGTGAATTGCCGAGAAAATGGACGCCAAAGTTTGGTGAGTTTCATAGCTTGAGAGTCCCTGGAAACGAAACATTTACCTGTTTGTTACTTGACGCAACGCTTTTCGGTAAAATTCTCTCAGAGGTGTTCTTAAATGAACATAAAAGGCGCTGCGCCCAAAAACGAAAACTCAATAAAAATTATCAAATAACGGGCCGAAAAAAGCCAATTTGTTTAAATTCACTATTTTGACGAGCGCCCGATTTCACCACGATGCCTCACATTTTCTTTTGGCTATCTCCCTAGGTTCCGCTACTACAAGAACGTATGCACGGAGAGCTACAGCTTCGTCTTCTGGCAGTGGGACAGGTGGGAGCAGGAGATCGACTGGATGGTTCTACACGGGATCAACATGCCACTCGCCTTCACAGGACAGGAGGCAATATTCCAGAGGGTCAGTACGCCCTACATCATTATTATCATTTAAAGAAGAAAGAAAAAGCATTTGTATAGAGTATATCTTTGTTCAATATCCAGCCCTATGCGCTTAACAATCTCTATCTATATCATTATTACATCAGTAGTCTCAAGAATACTTAGAAACATTCTCGGCTCTCTATGAAGCATGCAGTGCAAGCAGCCAGCCAATCAAGCACTCAAACACTAACAAACTGATACGATCTTTCGCTGTTAGTCTACCCGGGTACTCTTTCCCTCCTGGGTGAAGTCAGGAAAATTAAAGTCAAGGGCCTTTCCCACCCACACAACGTTATGCCCTGGACGGAGTTTAAACACATGACCTCTCGGTCAGATGTCCCGCCACAGCAACACAGACAAATTAAGACAAAGAGCCTGTATTGTATATTATATCGTTATATATATCCTTACTACATCAACGTATGTTAAGTCCTTTTTGGACACGTGTGTATGGATTATAGTTATACTTAAGAGGTCTTGTGGTGCTTTTATTAACTAAATTAATGTTTTATAGGTGACTGTGATGTTGGAGGTCTTACCCTGTTACCTTTTTCTTCTTCTTTTGTTGTTGTCTTTTTTTGTTTTGCTTTTGTCTTGTCTCATCAGTCCTCTGAACCATCGTCTTTTGCATTGGTACTGACATGTAAGAACGAAGCCCAGCTCCTAAATGATCAAACTTGTGTCTGTTTAGCCATAAAAAACACTTTAATAAAAAAAAAAACCCGTCTCATTTCAGTACACTGATAAAATAAATGTCCAGCCCAGAGACCAACGTTTTCCATAATGTTTTAGCGATTCATACCCATTTTTGATCTTGAAAACAATTTGAGTCTCCTTTTCAAGTGGATACTTCATGTTTTGTTCAATTGAACTTCCAAGAGTACTTTAAGATCTGTTCTGCTGAAATTCCAGGTGTACGCACGGCTGGGTTTCACCCAAGAAGACCTAAATGAACATTTTGGAGGACCTGCATTCTTAGCTTGGTAGGTGGAATGCTTATATCACCTTAGATCACTCCAGTACATTATTGTATAGTTTTAAATGTTAGTCTTTTAATGCTTTGTAATTTCTATCTTTATGTGGCAGTAGCAGGTTATCGGTATATTTCTTTTATTTTTCAGAATTCTGTAGGGTCTCGTGTGCATGCACGTGTTTCTGTTGTTCTTCTTGATGGGATTATAATTTCTTTCAAAAAAGTTTTGTTGTTTGTTAAAAATCTAATAGTTTCCAGCCAGCTACTGAGTTGGTGGTTGGAGGGCGCTGCTGGTACTTTTTTACTTTCCCTCTGTTGCTTCTGTCTGTCTGTCTTACTTTTTCCCAGCACTAAATGACCATTATTGCGTCGATGTGCTTCTCTTTACTCAAACATACAAACAAACCAGCGAGCTACTGCAGAAATGGCCGCATGTTGAAAATAACAGTCAAGAAAATAATGAGTCTAAAGATAGAAATAGAAGCAGCACCACATTGAATCCGTGTCTGTTGAAGTGCTGTAATATCTTCAATTAAAATTCGGAAATATAAATAACAACTTCTCCTACCCCTCCTCCCCCCAATCCCCTCGTCCTACTCCTCCTCCTTTTTCTCTTCCCCCTCCTACTTCTCTTTGTTTCCTCTCTTCCTCCTTATTTTTCTCCTCCTCCTTCTTCTTCTGTTACTCTTCCTTCTTCTCCTTTTTCTTCTCTCCCTCCTTTTTCTCCTCCTCCTCTCCTCCTCCTCCTGTTACACTGCTCCTCCTCCTCCTCTTCCTCCTCCTCCTGTTCCACTGCTCCTCCTCCTCCTCACCCTCCTCCTCATCCCATTTCTTCTCCTTCTCCTCCTCCTTTTTCTCCTCCTTCTCCTTCTCATCCTCCTCATCCTGCTACTCCTCCTTTTTCTCCTCTTTCTCCTCTTCCTTCTCCTTCCTACTCCTCCTACTCCTCCTTCCTCCTCCTTCTCCTCCT